GGGTCTCAGCAAGACGTGTTCAACTGGAGATTTCTTTTGATATATTTCTTCAACTGTTTTTTCTTTTTTCTTTTTGGTTCTGCTTGACAAGACAACAACTTCTTCAACAGCTGGTTTCGGTGTTGAGTTAGGCGTTTGTTTCTTACGAGGTTTGTTAGGTGTGCTTTGCTTACGTGGCATTTGTAAAGTAGTTTTTTTTTTTTTCGAAGAATTTAGAACAGAATAGTGTAAATTTTGATGGATATGATTTTACTTTTAAGTAAATCGTTATGCAAGACATACATATTTGTTTTTTAAAATTGATTTTATATAAAAGTCTTGAGATAAGAACGATGAAAATATAGATGCATTAGAGAGTTCGCTTCATGTGGGAACTCGTTCTATTTAAAATAAAATCAAAGATCAGAAGCAGGTTAATGGTTGACAATAGGGCATGATGATCATGAAAATTTGTGATATCCGGAAACCGTTGTTAAGTACTCAAATTTTGATGCAAATTTTAATGCAAATTTCAAGAAATATGATTGGCTGAAATTTATATCGGATTTTTGTATCAAATACATCAGCAAAATAACAGGTGTAGTTGATGCAAAATTTTTAACGGCCCAAGTAGCCAATCACAAAATGTTTACTTAACCAAATTTGTAAAATCCTTATTTTTAAAAATACAATTTCATAAAAATATATCAAAAATATGCATCGATTTTATTTAATTTTGTGTACTAAAAAAATAATTGATTGGTTAATCACAAGTGCATCAAATTTGACATCAACCAATTTTGAATACCTTTTATGTGTTTTGAATTTACTATTCTGCATTTGTGAAGATCTTTCCCAGTAATACTGACAAAAAAGCTTGGACACGTGATATTAGTAAAATATTTGTCACCTGTGTCACACTCCACCATCTTTCATTTTTTACTACGTATTCTGGAAACTTAGAAATTTTTTTAATAATGAATTCTCTATTTGTCATAGGCTAGGGTTAGGAAGATTAGGTTAATATTATTGGCTATATATCACATGCTGAGCTTTTTGTCAGTGTTACTGAAGGATTTATTTGTGAATATGAAAATCACGTGATTTAAAAGAATTAACTGACCAAATTAGGGGAGGGCCAAAAATGATATCATTTAATTTTTTAAAATTTTTAACCTCTTCCCCCTTTGTCATTATTTTCATTTTAAGAAATAAAATTATAATATAATTTTGGTCAGAATTAAGGAAGGGTCAGAAATGATATCATTCAAAATTTGAATAATTTGATTTTTCAGTTTCATATTCAAATTCAGATCGAATTGGAATTGATTTATTTAAGATGTAGTGCATATTTTTTTTTGCAAAATAAAATATAATGATAAAATATAAATATGTAAATTTAATTACAATAAATAATTTATCAAATTTTATCTAATATCACGATCCTAGTTTAATGAAAAATCTGATTTCTCAAATCGTAAAACTGAATTTATCAGTTCCAAATTTTGAACCAGTTCTAGACTACTAATTGTAAAGCCTGATTAACTATTAATCAATATTACTACTATATTATAGTATTATAAGAAAAAAAACAAAATGAAAAGTTTAATTGACTAAACTAAAGTTTAACTATTATGAAATTAATTAAAGTTATGTGAAAAAAAAAAGATTGTCTATTAAAACTGTTCCCAATTTATTCAAAAAACTACATTATAATCAATATTAATTATTAATTTTGAACGTTAGATGGTCTTACATCTATGGTTTCTCTTTTGAGTTTTGCTATTGTGAACTCCTTTCTTTTCCCTTCTTTACAACTTTTTTCTGTTGAAATAATTTGCTTTGCAAATCATCATTTCTTATATGATTCGTATTTTTTTTTACTGTTTTAATTATCCGTTGAAGGAGAATTCGACATAAGATATTACCTTTAGACCAAGTGTTTATTATCAAAATAAAAGAACCTTTAGATTCATTATCAAATCCTATTCTATTCCATTAAACCATCATTTTTATAAATTCTCTTCAATAATAGAATCACTTAATATGTATAATGTTCTGTAGAAGTTGAATGAAAGATTTGACCGGGAAGCATGTTTAGTACCCATAGCTTGTTACTATAGGATATAAACCAATGAACCTATAATAACACAATTTAAATTTAGGTCAAATCCTAAAAGGATCTGTCAAAGACAATTCCAAGAGGCACGTTAGGCTCGTTTTATTAGTTCCAGTAGTTGATCGTGATGTAATTTCGGCAATATCAAGTGAAGGTAGCGTAGGCTTATTTATTTTTCATTTTTGGGAGCGAATATTTATTAATTATTTATGTAATAATGAAAGTATTAAAGATAATAATTGATTTGCTACTTACTATTCTGTAAAACTATAACTTGTTAATTTCATTTCAAATATCTGTTTAATTCGTCTTCTTCACAAACTCAATTTCTCCTTAGGTACAAAAGAGTTTGTTCCGCCTATTTATCTCTACGAACTAGGGTACATTACCTATCTCAACAAGTTCAGTTCTAAATCCTCGAATTTTATTTGATCATCGGTTTTTTCAGTACACGCCGATTTGGGGTCTAAAAGCCCAGTCGGACGACACCTAGATTTTTTTTAACAAAAAAAAAAAAAAAAAAAAAAAAAATTCCTAAAAATATGAGGGATAATTAATTTATAAGAACATTAACCACGTAAACTATTATGTATCATTAAAAAAAAATATTATTTACCATGTCCAATCTTTCTAAATCACCAGTCTTTACTGTATAATTATTGATCGCTAAATCAATCTTCCTTCATAACATTCGCCCAAATGCGCTAATTTTCTAAACTTGATCTGTATCTT